GTAATGACATTTTGCATTCTTCATGGATGATATTCTTTATATCCTCCCACAGCTCATTTGGTCTTCACACATTAGTATTCAATGCCTTAAACTTGTCCCTGAGTTGGTTTTGAAATTCAAGTGGGATATACTCAAGGTCAAATTTTGGATTTTATTTAATTTTCTTTAGCGTCAGCTTGAACTTGCATATGAGTAGTTAGTCATCTGAACATACATACAAGTAGTTGGTTGTCCATTTCACAATCAATACCTGGACTAGTTTTCACAGGTGATACTGAGCTTCTCCATTGATTCTTTCCACAGATACAATCTGTCTGGTTCCAATGCATACCATCAGGTGAAATCCATGTGTATAGTGTTTATTTATGTTTCTTATAAAAAAGTATTTACAATGAATAAGTCATTGCATGTACAGAATTCTATCATTCTGTCTCCAGCTTCATTTGTCACCAAGTCAATGTTTTCCAATTACTGATCCTTCTTCTCTTCTCCCAACTTTTGCATTCCAATTATTCATTATTATTAATGCATCTTTATTGAATATTAAATTATTTCTGACTTCAAAAGTTGGTAGAAATCTATTTCCTCCATTTTGGCTCTAGTTGTTGGTGCATATATTTGAATGATAATGGTATTCACTGGACTTCCTTGTAAGTGTATCAATATTACCTGACCACTCATTGCATTTCAAGATGGACTTTTCACTTTTTTGTTTATTTTTTGGTAATTTTTATTTTATTTTAATGAACATTTACAGAGATTTTAGATTTCCATTCATTCATTGCTGCACTTCTCTCCCTGCCCAGCCCTCACCCCGCCCCCCCCCACCCTGTTCGCTCCTCTCTTTGAAAAGTGAAGGAAAAACTCCCTCCCTGGTACACAGTCCCCCCGCATTCCTCTCACCGCCCCAAGTACATTCTACTATGCAACCTTAATTGTGGACTCTTGTAATTACGATAATACCCTATCATACATTGCTTTTAAATTATTCTCTCCCTCACCTGTTTCAGTGCAGTATACACAATTTATCCAGTTTTTCTCAGTCTTACCCCAACCCTGATATCAGTCCCATTTTACCGCAGTGGCACCATGCAGTATTTGTTCTTTTGCAACTGAGATATTTCACTCAGCATAACGCCCTCCAGGCTCACCCATTTTGAATAACATTGCATGAGTTCCTTGTTTTTCAATGCAATGTAATATTCCATTGTGTGAATATACCACAGCTTCTCTACCCATTAGTTTGTTGATGGGCACCTGGGTTGTTTCCATCTCCTTGCTATTGTAAACAAAGCCACAATAAACATGGGTGTGCATACATCTGCTTGGATGTCAGTTATGGTCTCTTTGGAATATATTCTCAGTAGTGGAATTGCTGGGTCAAATGGTATCTCTATTTGCAACTTTTTGAGAAAACGCCATACCACTTTCCACAGTGGTTGCAACATTTTACACTCCACCAACAGTGAATAATGGTTCCAGTTTTTCCACAACCTCAGCAGCATTAGTTGCTTCACTTTTTTAACTATGAAAGCAACCCTATTTTTCCTCCCTTTTTTATCTCTGGCATAATAGATCATATGATCATTTTTTTCCAAATGTCCCAGTACCAGTGGCAAAGTTTAATAGGAGCAAGCAATAGATGTTGGAGAGGATGTGTAGAGATAGGACTCTCCTACAACAATGGTAAGATTATAAATTGGTACAGCCACTGTGGAAGGCAGTTTAGCATTTTCTCAAGAAGCTGAACTTAGAAGTTCCTTATAACTTAGCTATTCCACTACTATAAATATACTCCAAGGAAATTAAGATTGTAAACCAATGTTCATAGCAGCATTATTCACCATCACAAGAACATGGAAATAGCCCAAAGGTCCAACCATAATAGAATAGATTGAGAAATGGCAGTACATTCCTGTGATAGACTACTTAGGAACAATAATTTCAAAAATTACTACATAACTTGTGGGAGAATGGAGAGCATTACATTGAGTAAATTAACTCAGTCTTACATGGACAAATACTGCTTAAAAACGTTATTGTAGAAATAAAAAGATAACTAGTAAAACAATGATGCAAGGCAGAGGGCAGGAGCAGAGAGGTAAGTTTGAGCAAAAGGGAAGTCATAGGTTCACACAATTTGGTGGTGGAAGGGAGGGAGATAAAGGAAATGGGAAAGATTCCAGGGGATCTGGAAAGATAGGTTAATGGTGGACATAGTTCAGTGGTGGTTAATTTTATAAACCATAATGAATGGCGATGTTTGTATGAATCACAATGTAACAAAGAGTAGCTTCAAAAACCAAGGTATACAAACTTAATAAGTAAATCAATATAAAATAACAATTAACATAAAAAGAATACAAATATGAAGAGCTTAGATGCTAGAGATTGTCTAGGCTGAATATAAATTCCAGATTTGCATTTGTGGAAAGAATAGCATGGAGTAGCACCCGTGGCACAGTAGTTAAAGCATCAAGTTGCTAACTGAAAGGTAGATAGTTTGAAGGGACCTTTGCTCTAAGAGAAAGATGATTCCAAAGATGTGTTTGCTTTCCCCTCCACCCCCCTTTTTGGTAGCCTTGGGAAGCTCCTTCCAAGTCTCTCTGTCCATCAACTTTTTCATGTATAAAAAGGAACTAACTCTGATATCATGAGGTGGTTGTTAAGAATAAATGAGAATGTTTTTTAAAAAATAAAATATGCAGAGGAAACAAGATGGTGGCAATGGAGGAAACAGTATAAGGAGCTGGAGGAGTGGCAAGCTGAATAGAAACAGGCCACCACGGCCCTCCCCAGTCCTCAGTTTATTGATAATTGAACAATTAAACAGTTGAATACTGGTCTTCAGTATGGATCGAGACTCAACATCAAGAGGACAAAGATTCCCAAAAAAGAATGGGTGAGTCCCACAGCTCCCAGCTCCCCATTGCTGAGCCCACACCACCGCCCCAGCTCCTTGGGGCCTCCACAGCCAGACCCCAGAGACGCCCTCACCTGGGATGGATGGCGGGTGCCAGGCCTGGCGTCTAGTACAATGGAGCCTCCACACTGGCACAGAATAAACTAATTCTAAAATAAATTCTCGGAACCAAGATGGTAGTGGTAAGAATACAGCATAAAGAGCAGGAGGCCCAACAAGCCACATTGAAACAGGCCACACTGAAACAGGCCACACAACTGAAATATACCTAAACAGCAAAACAGTTGACTGTCATCAATATGGACTGAGGCTCAACGTCTAGAGGACAAAGATTCTCAAAAGAACTTGGGTGAATCCCACTCCTACCTGCAACCAGCCACTAAGGACAGGCTGTCGCAACCCTATGGGGCTTCTGTGGACGGAGCTGACGGGTCCCCTAGACCGGAATGGGCAGTGGGCGCCAGGCCGGGCAGCCAGTGTGACAGAGCGCCCACACGGCTGGCAGCTACAGATGTCAGCAGCTGCGGAACCCTGCCTGGCACAGGACTGGACTGCAGGTGACAGTAGGGCTGAGGGTGGGGGTGGAGGCAGGGGAGGCGCCATGGAACCTCAGGAGATGAAGGACTTGATAGGGGAAAGCATCTCGCTGTCCATGAAGATTTCCTTGGGTAGGTCAGAGAAGAAAAGAAGATCATCAACACAATGGATTGATAAAGTGTCTGTAGCAATGGGCTCGGGCATGCCTCGGACTGTGGAAGTGGCTTAGGATAGGGCAAGGACTAGATCTGTTCCTCAAAGAATTGCTGCGAGCCAGAGAGAGATCGGTGGGCCTAGTAGATAGAAAGCTATGCTAGCAAACCAAAAGCAAGGGATTTTAATCTGCAGCCCCCAGGCATGGTTTTGTTTTCAGTCAAACACTCTTCTAAGTAATATATCACTGCTCTGTCAATTGGCTGTACAGAGATAACTCATGGTTGCTGTGAGGCTAAACACTGTGACACTGAAGTGACAAATGTGATAATGGTTACACATGGTGTTTGATGGAGCTCTCAGATTAAAACAAGCTTGGAAACAGGATTAGTGTCCAATTCCGAAATCACTTACCTCCGGAAACTCTATGAATTTAGAAAAACGATGAAAGTTATATAAGGGAGAGCCATTTGGCCCACCTGCCTTCCCCTCACCCCCAACATCCAGCCCTCTGGGTGTGCCGCCCAGCCCCCTCTCCCTCCAGGAGGTGAGCTGCCTGGCCTCCGGTGTGTCCCACCCTGTACCCAGGGAGTGGCTCCCAACTCCCCAGGGAGAGCCACCTGGCCCCTGGGGAGAGCCTTCAGGTTGCTGGAAAGAGCTGCC